TGAGGTATACCTATGATGAAACTTACAGGCCTCTCTCATCTTTTTAAGTGGGAGAACTTGCACAATTGGTGGCTGACTAAATACTTTTTTGCCCTACTGTATTTAACTTATTCGATTTAGACACCATCTGGTCCAACCAACTCTGGGCAGTATGCAATAAAACCAACTGAATAAAAACAGAATATGATAATTATAAAAGAAGAAACAGCAAGAACCAATGGCAAATCCAGCTAACCAACCCTCACACAATGTGGCAGGGTCCCCAACCACTGTAACCCAAGGCCTGGGAGAACAGCCTGGTCTTTAAGGCTTTCTGGAATACCAGCAAGGTGGGAGTCACACAGATCTCAGGGGAATCTCATTCCAGAGGGCAGGCTCCGCAGTAGAGAAGGAAGTTTCCTAGGTCCCACTAGAAGATACAGTTTAATTGAAGGGAACCAGAGCACAACAACTCTGTTGGATGAAATTGGCCAGGCTGATACCTGATAGGCGGTCCCTTGGGTAACTGGCCCCTATGCCATATGCCAGGTCATAACCAGGGCCTTGAATCATACCTGGAAGCATACTGGTAACCAGTGCCGCTCACAAAGCTGATGTGTCACGTGGGCACACAGAGGCATGCCCATCACTGCCTGCACCACTGCATTCTGAACCAATTGAAGCTTCTGAGTAGTCTTCAAGGGCAACCCCATTGCAATAGTCAAGCTATGAAGCAACTAGGGCCTGAGTGACTTGGTTCACAATGGTATTTAATGCATCATGTATTTTGTAAACCAGATAAACAGGATTTGGAAATTTATTTTGATGTAATAGACCATCTGCAAATTTAATAATTGTGATGCTATTAAAGTTTAAAATCATGGGCCAGGCTGATACCTGATAGGCGGTCCCTTGGGTAACTGGCCCGTATGCCATATAGGGTTTTACAGGTCATAACCAGGGCCTGGTTTAAGGGCCTGGTCAAAGTTTAAAATCATTGTGAAAAAAAAAGAATTACAATGCCAAATTTGGAAAAAGGGTTAAGAAATATTTGACTACATAAGCCCTCCCAATTTGGAATTATATGTTGCTTTTATATGTGCTAAATTAATCAACTTGGTTCACAATACTGAATATTCATTAAATCATATTATGACAATTATTGACAAGAAGGTGTCAATCTGACAGAATGACAATTATTGACAATGAAGTGAAAAACTGAGTAAAATTATTAAATGAATTTCAAATTGAAACAACAGGAACAACATACTGTTATTTCCACAATTAAAGATTCCAGGAATAAAGTATGTAAAGACTGATTGGGTATATCATTTTTGTTTTCATTTTGACCTAACTATATAGTATCAATTCAGTGGAATCTGGTAAATAAATTAGAGTTTTTAAACAAAATAAATCTGAAGATTTCTCAAGATTATACTTTGCCACAGCATTATTATAGGAAGCAACTGACACTATAAAAACTGGGAAAGTTTTTATAAAAACCTGCTGTTTTTTTCATATAATAATGTAAGATGTCATGTTGAATATTTTGCTCCTGTATTTTTGGAGGTGTAGTGATGTTTTGAGAATAAAGCAGTCTTCCAATCTGTGAGCTCAGCCACCTGTCTGTTAAACCCAGGGCCCTCCTGCATGATTGAGGCTGCCTGGGGGTGGTGGTGTCTGCTTTTTTACAGGAGAGGGTGGGTTCCCTCAGCCTTGAAGGAGGCTGTGGTGTGCCCTCTCCTTAAGAAGCCATCACTGGACCAATCATCCTGGACAATTTTCATTCAGTCTTCAGCCTCTCCTTTCTAGGAAAGATGTTGGAGAGGGTATAGGGAACCATGGAGATAACCTTGGATAAAATATCCAGAAGCCATTAGGACAACAGGTGCAGAATAAGCAGGTGTTAATGGGGGGTGGCGAGAAAATTTTTAAAAAAGACTCAGACTGGCTCTCCCCTGACTTTCTGGGATATAAAAGGGAGGGGAGGGAAAACACAGGCAGATCTGCAAGATTCTGTATAGCCTGTATCAACAGAGTTCTAGTCTTTTAGTGGAGTCAGTTTCCTAATCTTGTTTACTTCTTAGGGCTGACACGAGAGGACCCAGAAGGAAACAGATTATATAGACCTGTATCTGCGGCTTTTGATACCATTGATCGTGGTATCTTTGGGAATGGCTTAAGGGAATGGATGACATTGTTTTGCCATAGTTTTCCACTTTTGTGCCCAGTTTCAATCAGTGTTGATGGGAGGAGAGGACATTCTCACAGCCCTTCACTTGTGGGGTGCCACAGGGCTCAATACTCTCTCCCCTCTTGTTAAACATCCACATGAAAGTGCTGGATAACACATTCTGTCAGTTTGGAGTCATGCCCAGTTTTGCATCTCAACCCCAAGTTGACCAAATCATGCTGATGAATTCCTGGCCCAGTGCCAGCTACACAGGCCTGGATGGAGAAGAACAGTTAAAAACTTTATTGTTTTTCCAGGCTTTGGAATAGAATGGTGGTCAAAGTCCCATGTGGGTTTTTTTGGGGGGGGGAGGAGGTGATATGGGGTTGGTCTTCTGGTTGGTTGTATTATTTTTTTGATATATGTTGTTTCTTTTAATTGTAAGCCACCCAGGGTCATTGAGGAGTCAGGCGGCCTCAAAATTTAATTAATTAAATAAATAATAAAATGTTTCCTTCTTTTTATGAGGCTTCCGAGAATTGATCATACTTGGGAAATCAAGCTAAATTTCTAAAAATCCCTTCTGTTTTCCTGTGCTGCATATGCTTCAAAGATAACATCGTGCCAAGTGCTTGGTATACCTTATTCCTCAGAGGTAGAGTTCCATCCAGATGGCTATATCATGTATTTGTGCTATAATCAAAATACGTTCTCCTCAAAGTTAAAGATTACCAGAGATGTGGTTGCAGGGGAAGAGTTGAAACAGTTTTCTTTACAAATGCCTTTTAAGTTTTTCAGTCTCTTTTTTGCTAAACATATTAAACCCATGAGCGAAATTCTTTTTAATTCCAATTCATCATATTTCAAATGCAGATTTAGTCTCTCCATGATGTTCCAAGCTGTTTCCTGACCTATGGCACGTGCATGTCAGTCAAGAGATACTGTGCAGCAGTTCCATTTTTTGTCGTGAACAGATTTCTTTTGTTGTAATTTTTTTTAACGTATGAAAAAGGTGGTAGAAAAACACAGGAGGAATTATAAATAATCTGAATTACTTATAAAACTTCCATATTTGGAAGCACCCTGAGTAATAATCTTGTCTTTACAGGATGAGTGTGCAAACTATTCGAAATGTTTTCAGTGTAGAAACTGGTTATCGTCTCTCTGATGACCAGATTGTCAACCATTTTCCTAACCACTACGAGCTTACCCGGAAGGACTTAATGGTGAAAAATATTAAAAGGTACAGAAAAGAACTGGAAAAAGAAGGTAGTCCTCTTGCAGAGAAAGATGAAAATGGAAAATATCTTTATTTAGGTGAGTTGGTTTAGCTAATCAGAATTATTTGTATATGTCTTTGAATATCAGGTATGCTAAGGCTGCATCCCTATATCTGCTTGAAAGTAAAGTCTTCTTCAGGTTTTGCTCAACTCCTGTTAACATCATGGATACACATTTATGGAGGAACCTTTTGGCAGCAGTGGAGAAATGGTTTTCCATTGCTGCCTTCATGGTCTAGCCTACAGACTTTGGAGTTCCTGATGATGTCCCATCTGACTGCAGCTCTAATTTGCCTAGTGTTTCAACCTCAGCAAAGGTCAGCTATGTGCCTATAATCTAGAGTTGAGCAGCATTTAGATTTTCAGTGGACTACTGTATTTTGAGATCAGCTTCTGAAGACTTCCAGTGGAGGACAACATGGCAGAAGGTCCCTTTGGCTGAAGTTCCTCTGAAGCTGGAGCGTTAAACATGTTTAATTTGGTGTCTCAGGAATTTTTTCCAAGACATGAAGCATTCTCCAGGCAAGGGGAAGCCATCGAATCGCACCACGTGTCTTCCGGACAGCTATAGCTTATTGAACAAACATGGGTTCCGAACGAACGGTGAGGATCGGCCGGGAAGTGGGTGGATCAGCTTGTCAGTGCTGCTTTTAAAGCCTCTTAAAGAGACATTACGTCCAACCACCCCACCTCTAAAATCACTTTTGCTGTAAGTTACTTAAAGCATTTAAAGAGGCTCTCTCCACTACAGAAATATTTCTTCTCTTGGTTGGACTTTCATTATTTTTTGGGACTTTTAAAGTGCATTGTATTGGATTTGAAGGATTGAAATAAGAGCATGCAATCTGGAAGTTTTAATGTTTTCAAAGAAGTCTCACTTTTAGGAGATTATTTTTATCTATATTTTACTATTGCTTTTAAAAAGGAATTTTACATAAGTTTTTGTGTGTGTGTGGAATTGAGAGAGATTTATTCTTAAATGCTGTGGGAAAGTTTTGGTTTGGTGATTTTCTCAAGTTATGATTGGCTGCAGATTCAACCCTCTTTTGTTTTGTTGCTAGTTTGTGAGAAAACAAAATCTGCTGATTTTTCCAAACTCTGATTGGCTGCTGATTTGCCCCCCCCCCCTCCATCTTGCTGTTTGTTGTGGCTATCCAGTTACATTTGCATTTGGGAAATATTTGGCCACAAGAGGGAGAGAAAATATTAAATTAGAAACTATTGAAAGGAAGAAACAGCTTTCCTTTTCTTCTTTCTTTAATTTTTAACTAAGGGTGGAAAGAAGAAGGAACAGAAATAATGGCCACCAGAAAGCATATAAGGCATGGATCTGGTGAACTTGACTGGATGAAAGGCATGTTTGAAGAATATATTCTCAAAATCACACAAACGTTTATTTATTTATTTATTAAATTTCTCACCCGCCCATCTCCCCCCAATGGGGGAACTCTGGGTGACTCACAACAAACATTAAAAACATAAATATATATAAATACATAAAACATCAGTTAAAAGCATTACTAAAAAGGGGAAGGAGAGTCCAAGAAGATCTGGGGCTGAAGACAGGAGGCCTCTACAGGGCTAGCCATCCCCATGCTTGAGGTATTCCCTCCCCACCCCAGGCCAAGTGGCAGAACCAGGTCTTCAAGGCCCTTCGGAAGGCC